ACAGCTCTCAAGTCCTACAATGTTTTCAAAATTGTGTTTTTATAAAAATAGCTATGTAATACTATGCTTAACTGTATTAAGCCTGATAATGTGGACAAGTCTACTGAAAACAGCAAGAGAAAGCATAGTAACTATGGTAGATCACCTACTATTGTGGTCTTATGTGTCTTTTTCATTGCATGTTTTTCTAGGAATTTGTTTTGCTGTCTTGTTATGATTTGTTTTTCCCTATAATACAGAGAGGATAGATATAAATGTAGAAATTCACACATGGGAAGAATTTTTTAAACTATTTATGGGAACAGATTATATAATGCAAGATGTAATGAACAGATACTCTGAAGAACAAGAGACACTAAGAAACCCAATCCTAATTCTGTAGTTTTATGATATAAAATCTAGCAATACTATTATTTACTGTTCAGAGTGATATTAGTCTAGTCTCTTAAGTTCAATTTTAGCATATGTAACGATAAGGACAGCTACTACAAAGAGAATGAGAGACACTATGGTAGTCATTATTGTCTTCCCCAATGACAGATCTTGAAGACCTAAAAAGCCTTCATCATCCTGTAATGATTTGATTAGTTCTATAATACGCAGTATGTATTTAATGTGTGTGAAGATGGGGACAACTATTTGGAAGAAAACTAGAGACAATAACATAAACAGTGAAGATCTCCAGTGGACTTGCTTTGAAATCTGTACTTCTTTAAATTGTTTCTTTTTGATCTGTTTTGTTCTGTTTTGATATGTTTAATTTTATTCTCTTTAAGATAAAAAAAACAAGTGTGTAGGACTGATAACCATACTACTAAGTTTTTGTTGAATCACGGAGCAGAATTATTGGTAGTGTCACTATTTGAATGTCACTTTACATACTTTAATTTTGTAACCTGAACAACTATTTCTAAGATGACAATATGTAACTTATCAACTGGTGATTTCTTACTGTTTATTTTTTTGTAATTCTGTATTATTTCTACCCTTTTTTCCTCCATTTTTTTGTTTCTTTCTCTTTAAATAAATTCTTAAAAAGAAATTACTCCTAACATTGTAAGTCAATGATACCAATAAAATAATATTAATATATTATGTAAATATTAGTACTATATATTAGTATATAAAGACTTAGGTCATCAATCAAAAATAGGTTACCAACTTGAATAAAAATAAATTCAAAGGTAAGTTGTTTGCTCAAGCATAAGGGCTGTATAGTTTGTATCTTGAATGTCCTCCAAAAGCCTAGGTGTTAAAACTTGGTTCCTACATTTGGAACTGTTAGGAAATTGTTAAACCTTTGGGAAGGGGGCCTATAAAAGGAAATTAGGCCATGGTGATTAACTCCTTGAAGGGGACATTTATATTCTGGCTACTTCCCATCTCTATCTTTGCTTCCTGGCTGCCAAGAGACAAACAGCCCTTCTCTATCATGTGTTTCCATCCTGACATACTGTACTACCACAGACCAAAGCAACAAAGTCAAGCAACTATGGACTGAAATCTCTAAGAGCACTAGTAAAATTAAACCTTTTTTCTCTTTAAGTTGATTATCCCGGGTGTTTTGCAATAGCAAAGGAAAGCTGACTAACATAAGGGCATAGAAAAAAACAAGGTAAATGATGGCAAATACTAAAAAGATAAAAAAGCTGGATTTTTGCCATAATAACATCCAGCAAAATAGCACTACAGAATGATAAAATATTCCATTTATCAAGATTTAACAATTCTGAAGTTGAGTCCAAAAAGATCCTCCAAACATATAAAGCTAAAAATAATATAAGTACTTCAAAAATCCTCATCACAGTGGTAGATTTAAAATTGTCAGTCATCTGCAAGGCAGGAAAATATTTTAACAACAAAATTAACAAACTTCTTTTAATAGACATTCTATGAAGTCCTGACTGCGACATTTTAAAAATAATCTTCAAATCTTCAAATACATATACAACATTTGTAAAAACTTTCACTGTTTAAATATTTGAAGAAACAGTATCAACTCTTTACTCTTCGTTAACTCTTACACAATTATGATAGAAATTAGTAACCAAAAGTCTCTTTAAAACTCAATATAACCTTCTAAATATCTCAGGTGAAAAAAAATAATACAAGTATTATTTAAGTTTAGAACTATATAAGAATGAAAATCTCAAATCACAGGTAAAACTTGTGAAATATATCAGAATCACTTATAAAAGTTGAGTTACTTCCTTTGCTTATAACAGGAAGGAAACCTGGAAATTAGTAAAAGTATCCAATTTAACAAAAAACAACCAATATTTAAAAAGTAATTGTTCTATTTTTATCCTTATGTATTTTCTTCTAGATTCAAATAACTTCATTAGATGCAACTGACAAGCTTAAAACAAAGCCAATTTTGATTACAAAAAATAAATAATAAAATAGAGAACACTTCAATGAAATTGATTCGGAAAAAAAAACACAAAAAGCACACATAACAAATTACAGATGAAAAAAGTACAAGTATAGATTTAGAGGGAACCAAATAGATAAGATAATATAGTGAACAACCTTATACCAGTAAATTTGAAAATTTAGACAAAAATAATAATCTGAAAAACAAAATTTTCCAAAATTGACCTAGAAAGGGATAGAAAGTGTGATCCTACAATTGTTAATGAAATTGACTCAGTTATTTTAAATCTTCCCATAAAGAAAACATGAGGCTCAGCAGGTATCTTAATTTCTCATTGATGGGACAAAATGCCCAAATTCACAAGTTAAAAGAAGAAAGATTTACTTTAGCTGACAGTTTGCAGAAGTTCCAGTCCATAGTTGGGGGGTTCCAAGTCAGAATGGCATGGCAGTGGGCATGGCAAAAGAGAAAAAGACAGAGATGGGAAGGATCCAGAAGGGCAAGCAGGAGAACAGCAAATAGTAAGCCTTCCTTTCCCTTTTATTCCATTCAGGCTACAAGCCTATTGGTTGGTTGCTGTCCATACCTATGTGGGTCTTCTGGCTTCAGTAAATCTATTTAACCACACTCAAAATATGTTAAACTAATCAGTGGACCAATCCAGTATTCACATACCCTTAATGTACCATCACACACCCATATGCACCAGTCACCTCCCTAAAGCACCACCTACGAGCCCATGAGGCTTACAAGCCATAACAGCTGATTTTACAATTAAATTCTTTTAAACCTTTAAGGAATAAAATAGATTGGTTCAACTTTATTGACTCTCTTACATAAAATGTAAAAAGAGAGACTACTCCCCAACTCATTCCTTAACATCAATGTAACCTAAAAAATATTAGATTAGTCAAACAAAGAAAAGAACAGGGAATCTCTCTCATGAACATAAAAGTAAATACTATGAATAAATTCTAGTAAATTGAGTTCAATGGAATATTTGTAAAAGGTTGTGTTTATTCCAGGACTACAAGGATGAGTTAGGATAGAGAAAATTCTTGAAACTAATTTATCACATTAACAAGTCTCTATGATGGTGCCCTCCTATAATCCCAGCACTCAGAGGCTGAAGCAGGAGGATTGCCATGAGTTTGAGACCAAGTTAGGCTTTAAGGCTAGTCTGAACTAGCAAGATTCTGTCTCAAAACTAACAAATAAACACATCAACAGATTAAAGAAAGATATCATATTAATCATCTCACAATTTAAACCTATTTTTAATTTTAAAACAATTTCTTGACAAAACAGAAGAGACCTCCCTTAATATGGGAAAAATTACAATGATAAAATATTAGTATTTTAGTGGTTTAATGATAAAATATCAGTATTCCCTTTAAAATCAAGAAAAAGACAGAATGCCCATCATTACCATTTTCACTTAACACCATTACAGCAAGAACAAAAAAATCAATCAACCAAAGCTTTGCGTATTGGAAAGAAAGTACTGAAATTGCCATAGAAGTACTGTCTCGTATTCTCTCGTATAGCAAATATAGCTTCGGTCCCCTCAAACTCCCCCTTACAATTTATCTAGCACGACTTCAGCTAGAAACACTTCTCTCATCCTTTTACAAACCAAAACCCAGTCTGAGGAGCTATTTAAAGTCGTGGATACCATCCAACATGTTGTTCTAACCCATTTAGACTCCACTTGATGCATCAAAGCAGACCAGACATTTGGAAACATTATGAACAAACCCAAACTGGTATGATTTAAGGGGTGAAATGAAAGAATGAGTTTGGGAACACAGATACCACCTCAAGAGGATCAAAGAGTGAGTCAATTTGCTTACTTTGCAGTGCCCACTTCTCAGAAACATGGAAGTGTGAGAACCAGCACACTATTTCAAGGCTTAACAGGGCTGTGCAAGCAATCACCCAGCAGTATGTGCTTCAGGGGGAGAAACAACAGTGGGAGAGTAAGAGTAAACAGGAGGATCCAGACAGCACCTGGTTTTACTTTCATCTTTCTGTATTCCTCTACCCGCCCCCAACCCCCAGCGTGCCCCTTAAACTTTTCCTCAAGTTATCTCAGGCGCATGGTTCAGTGGCAGGGCACTTGTTTGGACATACAAGGCCCTGGATTTGATTCTCAGCACAGTCAGTCAGTCAGTCAGTCAGTCAGTCAGTCAGTCAATCAATATCATTTCTGCCTCATTCTATAAAGGTACAGAGATTTCAATCCTTTCTCCAAAAGAAACCTTTCAGAAAGCTTAAGATATAGAAAAAAAGAATGCACAACTGTTTGGTTCAAGCAGTAGTACAAGACAGGAGTTCACTCTGCTGTCTCCTCACCTCTCCTCGGCCACATGCATTCTGAGGAGCCTCTTAAGTACAGCCTGACAAACTATACTGATGTGTGATTCATTTAGTTATTGCTACCTAAATGGTCAATCACTTAATGGAAAAACTTTGAAAGCTGCTTTTGGTAGAAACACTCAAAAGAAAGACAAAATTAAGCAGTAGGAGCAGGTTTGTTTACAAAGTTACAGATGGGGGTGCCATAGTTATACCAATTAGCTTTTAGCATAAATTAAAAACTACTAAAAAGACAAGCACTAACCTTCTCAGAATGCTGTTTGCCTGAGCTTCGGAAATATCTACACCCAATGATTTCACGGCAGCAATTACTTCTGAAGCATCTATTACTCCTTTAAAAAAAAGTGAAAAATACCATGTTAAAGTATCTGAAAAGACAATGAGGCAAAATACTTATACTGTACTAGTCTTTGGAAGTCTATATTTTAAAGGTCTATAATCCTAGATTCATAATCCAATGCCTAAAAAATTCTGAAAAGTAAAAGACATTTTATAAATTCAGCACCAAGATTCATTTGGTGTCAAAAGCTGCTTTAAACTCATATGGGTTAATTTTAGTCAACTATTTATCTAATTCAGTGTGTAAAAATTTATGTTTCACTGCAAAAACATAGTATTATTGTCTGGTACTACCCCAGACTCCACTTGAAATGTTATATATCTTTTCTAAGAGTAATATAGCAATATTAGTTTCCTAATATATAACTATATTACTTTTCTAAAATCTACATTCTAAATTTCCAAACACATCTGGACCCAAGTGTTATATATCTATAACGTAACCCTCTTGATTATTACACCTACTTGGAAAGCAATGAAAAAGCTAATCCTAAAGACCTGATTTAGAGACATGAAAACCAGGTCACTCAATGTTTCATAAAGATAAGCCTTCAAAGAAACAATATAACTTAAAATACACATCTGCTAAACAGTCCACTATCACATTGCTGGATGTTGTAAAAGGAAAATTACATAGCTATAGTCTCCTCAAATTCTAAAACATAAATCTTATCCACCAAATCCAAAAAAAATCTTGATTCTTCTCTCACGTAAAAATACCAGTTGAGGGGCTGGGGATTTAGCTCAGCAGCATAAGCACCTGCCTTACAAGCAGGTGGTCGTGAGTTCGAGCCCCAGTACCGATAAAAAATTTAAAAAAAATTTTAAAGTACCAGTTGAAGACACCCAACTTTTGATTTTCTGTTTGTTTATTTTGTTTTGTTTTTTTGTACTGGAGATCAAACTCATGACCTCACACTTGCCAGGCAGGTGCTGTGCCTCTGAGCTATAACCCTGTACTCAACCTTTAAAATTTTTGTTTGTAAATACAAAAAAGTAGGTCTCCTACTTAAAAATACATATCAGAAAGCTATCATAAATTCAGCCACACTTTTAATTTGTATTTTATGAACCATAACTGCCCATGCATTATGTATAAAAAGTAGTGCAAAATACATGATATTACTTAACACATAGACAAAGTACTTTATTCAAACATAGAATCTTAGACCGTACAGTGACTCCGAAGCCCCAAGTATTCCAAGCTTTACAGAATGAAATTTACTGATCTATTCCTCAGCCTAGAAATCAATTTCTTTAACCATAGACGCTTGGATCCCCCACCTTATATCTCATTATAATCTTCAAACACTAAATTCCTCAATTTGATTTAATAATTTTAAAAATTTTGGTAATCTACTAAGCAAATTACTATACTAAATATGAGACTAATAAACAACCCCAAGGAAATTACAAATTTTTATGGATGCACTAATTATTTTTAAAACATATCACATTATGCTAAATGTGGGTTAACAGACGAGTTAGCAATAAGTATGATGAAACAGTAAATAAAGGAGTACGAGACAACTATAAAGTAATAAAAGATTTCTATAAAAATTATCTTTAAAAGCAAGGTATATGTACTTATTTACAGAGGTTTGTTGAAAACTTACAAATAGTATTAAAAATAATAATAGGTAACAGTACGGGATAAGGATAACAGGTATCTTGGAAAGGATACCCAGAGGGCTTCTGAGATGCTAGTGATATTCCACCTCATTTTTAAAATTTTTTTTATTTTAAAATGCTCTAAAGGATATAATTGCATGTATGTTTAAGAGTGTATGATTGATAACCATATTACTAAGTTTTTGTTGGGTTGTTGAACAGAATTGTTTGTGCTCTCACTGTTTGAATGTCCACTTTGTATGTTTTAATTTTGTAACTTGAATAACTATTTCTGAGAGGACAATATGCAATTGATCAGCTAGTGATTTCTTACTTTTTTTTAATTCTGTATTATTTCCACCCTTTTTGTTTTGCTTTTTTCTCTTTAAGCAAAATTTTAAAATTTTTTTTTATTTTAAAAAAGCAAAACAGAAAATAAGGATAGAAATAATACAGAATATCAAAAAACAGAAATTGACACTAGTTAATATATTGCATATTGTTATCTTAGAAATAGTTCAGATTATGAGATCTAGGCATAAAAAATCAATCAAACAATAATAGCACAAACTGTTCTTTTTGGTGCACAGAGAATTAGTAGTATAGTCGTCTTGCACACATATACATACATATATACAGTTATATGTGTATACCTACATACATGTATCTTTTCCTTTCTTCTATTTCTCCTTCCCCCTATCCCAGTTGCTCTTTCCTTTTGAGCACTTTCTTTTTTTTTTTTTTTTTTGTCTTTTTTCATTTTTATCGGTACCAGGGATCGAACTCACAACTGCCTGCTTGCAAGGCAGGTGCTTATACCACTGAGCTAAATCCCCAGCCCCCTTGAGCACTTTCTTTCCCTTTGATTTTCATTATATCTGTTGTACATTTTGGAACTTATTACTCTTTCAGTTTATTATTATTTATGTTTTACACTAGGGAGACAATACAATATTAAAAATGTAAGTCTGATTTATTTCACTTATGAGTATTGTCTCAAGTTGCCTCCATTTAATTACAAAAGCCTAAAGATAATCCTTTTTACAGCTAAGTAATATTCCATTGTATAAAAATATCACATCTTTTTTATCCATTCTACAGTTGATGGGCATTTTGGTTTTTTCCAAGATTTAGCTATTTCAAATGGTGCTGTTATAAACATGGTGCACATATATTGCTGTGACATGACCTTTTCAACTTTTCTGGGAAAATACCCAGAAGGGGAATAGCTGGATTGGATGGGACTTCCCTACTGTTTTGAGGAATCTCCATACTGATTTCCACGATGGCCACACCAGTCTACATTCCCACCAACAGTGGAGAAGTGTTCCTTTTTTCCCACAGCCCTGCCAGCATTTGTTATCGGTTAATTTCTTGATGGCAGCCACTTTTTCTGGCGTGAGATAGAATCTCAATGTTGCTTTAATTTGCATTTCTTGAATTACCAGTGAAGTTGAACATTTCTTTATGTATTTATTTGCCATTTGTATTTCTTTATATGAGAATCTCATCTGATTAAAAAGTTTTTGCACTTCAAAAGAAATCACCAACAGAGCAAAAAGAAAACTCACAAAATGGGAAAGAATTTTAACCAACTGTCCCCCACACAAAGAACTTATATCTAGAACATATAAAGAATTGAAAAATACCAGGCCCTCCAAATTCAAAGACCCAACCTAAAAATGGGCATCTGAAATATTCCACTTCTTAATCTGGAAAGTTTTCATGTTATATGTTTGCCCTGTGAAAATTTAGGGAGTTTATAATTTATTATACTGATAATTTATACACTTTAATGGATATATTACATATGAGTGAAATCATTTCCCAAACAGTAATCTACCGCCAAACTTGAAATGCCATTTAAACAGCTCTGGCCTTGTGTGGCAATTTCTCAGCAACATCTTTTTTCAAGCTATTACATCTACTCAAGAAGTTTTTCCCCACTTTTTATATATTGAGAGTGCAAATCCAATTTAGATTTGGACACAACTAAGTTCTTCTTGTATTACTTCTACAGGATAATCATAGTGTATATTGTATAGAGCTATGGTTGTTTATTCTTATTCCATCCAAAACCATGAGCAGCTGAACACATTGGTTAATATAATTCCTAGTACACTAAGTTGACATATAAAACTCAACAGTTTGTTTCTTTGATTAAATTATATTTAGTCCCTATCCTAAAGAGTTTAAAACTTAAAGCAAAAATGTAGAAAAATTAGGTAATTCATAATCAAGACCTATAGACTAAAATGGAAATTCAATATAGTCTTAAGTATAGGCACCAAATTTTCACTACAAAGATAGATTTGAAATAGATTAAATGAAATTAAAATATTTAAATGAATGAAGAAGACTAAAACCATTCCAGCACTATAATCCTAGGAAAGAATACAAAATATTCCATTTATATATCTGTAATATATCCCTACAAAACATCATTCCAATATCTGATGCTTTTAAAAGAATTTTTTTGATCATGTGGACATAACATAAGCTTGGTTCAACTGGCTGACTCTTTTGCTGACCTTGCTTGGGTTGTTCAGGTGAATCCAATCACCTAGAGATCCAATTGTATCTCAAAGCTGGGTGATTTTAATCACGTCTGTCACCTCACATGAAAATGTAGAATAGCTAATGACTAAAAGGACATCTCTCTCCATGTGTTCTCACCAGACAGGTAGGTAGACTTCTTTCCTTTTGGGTTAGGGTATTTAAGAGGCAGTACTCAAGACAATGAGGCCTAATGTACAAGTATTTACCAAGCTCTGTTAATATCTTCAGCAGCTGAAATGATCAAACCCAAGTCAATATGGGACAGGACTATACTATCCTGGGAGATATGATTCACTGTAAGAGTCAATGTAAAGAAAATTATCTAACCTGTCTAAACTTTAGTGTTCTTTTCTATAAAATGTTGCTTCTGTGAGAACTATGAGGAAAAAATAAGATATTGAAGATAAAGCACCTTGAATAAACATAGCCAACAGTAAAATCCAGTAAAGCTTAATCACTTTCCCTGTTTCTTCAATACCAAAATTCCATCTGTTACGGCTTATATCCAGATGTCCCCCCAGAGCTTCTGCACTCATACGTGGGGCTTTTTCAAAGTTGAATAGATTTATGGTGTGTAATACTGGCATTAAGGGTGTGCGGTACTCAATTAGTCCACTAGTTGGAATTAGCATAGTTCTGGATGTGGCTCAATGGATTTACTGAAAACAGAACCCCTAACTGGGTATGAATGGCACTACCCAAAAGATTTATAGCCTGTTTAGAATAGAAGCGAAATGTGGTTTTACTTTTGTGCTTACTGCTTTACTGCCTTCTGTCTGCCATACCATGAACTGTTTCTCCTTTGTGATGTCCATCTGCCAGG